TATGTTAGATACAATGATCAATTTACTATGATCAGATTTTATTGGCGAAATTAACGTAATAAATTGAATTTTATTTTATATTGTTTAATTATAAAAAAAGAGCAATATTCTAAAAGATTCACACAAGTATCGTACTTATTTATCGAATTTCCTTTGAATGAGAAATGTTCTTTAGAACCATTTCGAAGGTTCTATATTTAATTTTTTGCGATAGCTCTAATAAGGTTTAACTTATTTAACTTATAGTTTCGAGAGTTTTTTTTTTATATTTTAATTAACAAAATTCAACTTATTCTATAAGACAATTATACAAAATTTATATATTGATAAAAATTTTGAAAATATAGCTTTATTCTTTAGCATCTTATAAATAATTCGTGAAAGTTTCAAGGTAATTCGATTTCTTGATAATAAGTTGAATCGCTTTGAAATTTCAATTATTAATAATATTAAGATAATCGTAACATATTATGTTCTTATTGCTGTATTGTAGTATTAAATATACAATCCGAATTTGAATAGAATTCAATTTGCCGTTTGTGTAACGTAAAAAATCTGTGATATAAAAATGCTATAGCTATCTAACATAGTTTTGATTTCTTAGTCGACTTTTTTTAATGGTGATCTTGCTTTATATTTATCATCATGTATTTACGGGATTCTGTGTATTCAGAACCCACAAGTGGATTTTGGGAAGAACTTATGATTTACTAACGTACATTCATGCATTAAATTGACTTCTCTATATATGCCATATAAAGAATTCACCATCCTAAATATAGCATTTATATTATAGCATTTATAGTTATTTACTCGAGCAGCACGAAAATAGCAATGGAAATCTTTGTTTATTGTCCAAATTATAGTGAGATTCCATACTTAAAATCTATCTGCGGAATCTGCGGTGTACAGATTGAAAATTAATTCCGCAAGTAAATTTTATTTTTTGAATTGCAAATTTTATTATGTGCTATACATGTCACGCATCTTTAAACAAATAAAATTTGATAAATTTTTTTTTTTTTTTTAATTCTATATACATGAATATAAGAATTTAATAAAAAAAATTCATAGATTTGGTCATATGGTTGCCAAAAAACATCTTGAAGTTTGAAGGTTTTAATATTTTGATAAACCTTAAGACAAAGATATTTTAAAAAACTATACAGTATAACCAAATTCAATAAGATTTTTTATTTAAATCCTATTACGTATTATGTAGAATTAAAATTAAAAAATCTCAAAATTTTATTAGATGGTTATCAAGATAGTTAATTGTTTATAAAAAATATTAAAATTATAGCAAAATTTTTTAAACTTTGAGCAAAAATATCTCAACAACCACATAACCAATTTCAATGAAAATTTGTTTATTTTAATTCTTCTATTGTGTAGAATTAAAATAAAAAAATATATTTATTGAATTTGATTAGGCGGTTGTTAAGATATCTTCGCTCAAAGGTTTGATTTTTTTTTATTATTAAATTTTAGATAGCAATATGATCGTCCAATCAGACAGTGAGATATGTGCGTAAATTTCGGTCTCTCCAAAATTTTACGTAGATCGTATTTAACCGATTACGACGTTAATACAAAAATGACAGCCAATTCTAAAAAACGAACGGGTAGTTCTGACGAAAGTCTCGAAGAAGACATAAAGCAAAGACCGATCAAAGCTCGAAAAAACTCTTTAACTGAATCGGCTGTGTCTTTAAGTGAACAAACACCAGTATTGCTATGTGAACAAAAAAATGAAAAGATAAACTGTAAGTTGAGACTGAAGCTTGAAAAAAAGTCGTCGTTTCAGTTTCAACATCAAGAAACTCCTTTAATGTATTATCTAAGTGTTGTTTATTTTGTTTTTTGTTAGCGTCTAAAAGATTTTTGATATATTTGATATAGCAAAAAAAGGACGCCGCAAACAAAAAAAGAATAAGTTTCGAGGAACAAATGCCCAAAAGGTATGTGCTGATATTCTTATTTTATGAAATAAACCATTCTCATAATTAACATATATTTTTAGGTCATTACAAGAAACGTTCCTGAAGTTTTCTTCGACCCAAATTACTGGAAAATCATTGATGTCAAAGTAATATTATTATATTCATCGTGTAATAGATATTTTATATATAATTACCAAAAATCTTTTAATGTAGGAAATCCAAAACATAATCTTATATTTACTTTGTGGAAGTGGACACTGTCCTCCTTGGATCAAGATAAGGGTTGGTTATTAATAGATGATGATTTTCACACTGATTTAAAGTTTACCGTTAAAGACATTTACATTTGATATACCTTCAAGGGAAAACACGAGATAAAAAATGTAGTTACTCTCATCGTCCCAGGATTTGATCCTGGAATGTTTGGCATGTCTGCTGAATCGGCTATTAAGATTAATAGACCAATCGAAATTTCACTACTTTTAGAAAGTGGATTATATGGTGATCAAACACGATATGCTCACGAAGCACTTCCAACGCTTTCTCAAGTATTCTCACACGCATGTGTTACACAAGCTCCTGGAGAAAACGGGAGACTACACTCTCCCTTTTTTAGTTTAATGTCCTGCTACATATCTGAAGAGTATAAGAAGTGTTTACTTGATAGATCGAAAGTGAATGTTACAGATCTTACTGATATGACTGATGGTATTTTATAATTTTATGAATTATCATATGTTTAGAGTTTCATTTTATTAATTTTTCATATAACTTTTCACTCAGCCAATCTAATTCAAAGAATTTTAAAATGTCTATTAACTCATGAGCAAATGAGTGATAATTTCTATCCGATTCCTACATACGTTGCTAGAGATGGTAAATCATTACCTCCTGGTTGGATCGAGACTCATTATCCGGAATATCGATTTCCTTATCAAGAGCAATATTTGGATGAGAAGATTGAATTAAAGATTCTTGCTATTGATTGTGAAATGGTATGGACTCATTGTATCCTCCACAAATTCATTAATTTACTTTGAGGGATGATTCTATTTACGTCGTGTTAGTGTATTACAGCAGATGGTCCAGCCCTAACTCGTGTATCAATAGTTGATGAAAAACTTAAAGCTGTTTATGATTCGTATGTCAAACCAGACCTGCCAATAAAAGACTATTTAACTGAGTATATATTATATATTTATTTCTTGTATATACATCTTTATATAAAGTTGTGAGGATTAAGAAATTTGATTTCCGCTAGATTTAGTGGAATAACCGAAGAAATATTACGTGATGTTACTATTACAATTAAAGACGTTCAAACTCAGATTAGCGAGTTGGTCGACAAGCATACTGTTTTGGTGGGACATTCTCTTGAATGTGACTTGAAAGCATTGCAGGTATCAAATATTTTATCAAACTATATACAACTTAGAGATTGTTAATGAAATTAATCGCGGATTTTTATGTTTTATTATGTCAGTTTGCGCATCCATTTATAATTGACACATCAATTCTTTATTCCGATCCCCGCAATCCATACAAACCAAAACTGAAAAATCTCGCAAAAATGTGGCTTAATAGAAATATTCAATCTCAGGGACCTCGTGGGCATGATTCTATTGAAGACGCTATGACTTGTATGGATCTCTTAAAAATGAAATTAAGTCGAGGTAGTTTATTTCATTTTAATATTTAATTTAATGCAATCTATTTCTTTCGTTAAATTATTCATCTTCGGTGCGTCCATATAGGTCTGGATTTTGATAAAACTCATGAACCTATTTTCAAACGTATATATCGCATAACTGGCGGTAAGACTGCAATCGTGGATCGTGAAGACAAAACTAATTTATATAAAGATTGTGCTAAGACGGTTGTGACGTGTAAAACAGATGAAGAAGTATGTAAATTCTATCTAGAATGTCTACTTCTTTTATGCGAAAATTTACACACGATAGCAATTTTAGGTATTGAATGCCCTAACAGAAATAGTAAGCAACGAGCAAAATATTTTACATAACTTTGTATTTGGACAATTTCTTGACCTCAAAACTCTTCCTGATGATATGGATGGACGAATTAATCTTGTGAAAAGATTCGATGAAAGAATCAATATGATATACGATAAAATTCCGATCAAAACAATGTTTATAATTACTAGCGGAGGAGGTGATTCTAAGGATTGGTTAATGTACGTATAATTTTGCTAAAATAATATACTTCGAATTTATATCAACGCATAATTTTATTTGATATATAATAGGCTTAGGGACAAAAAACAAGATCACTCTAGTGATTGGACAGAATATGATGAACAAGAGCTTCAAAATGCTTATCTTAAGGCTAAAGTTGGATTTAGTTTCTTTAGGCTAAAGTGACATTGATGAAAGCCTTATGTGACTTTTCAAGTTCGAAAAAAAACAAAAAATTAATTAATATTAAAGTGCATGAGTGTAATTAATTGATATATATATCATCTTGTCAATTTTTGTTCTAACTTTCAATACAAAAAGCCATATCCGGTGCGGCTTACTTCTCCGACAAGTCATTTAGTCGACATCACATAGGTTAGGGTCAGCATTCGATTAGCTGCGTGATATTAATAAGCTGTCGGTGAAATGATTGTCTGTGAAGTATGTGGACTTACAAAAACAGTGTGCATAAATGGCACCAGTGTTGGGCAGGCTATTATGTCCAATTGTTTTAAAAGTCAATTGGACATCAAAATTGCCCAACACTGAATGGCACGGTTAAATTATGTCAGGCTGTCATTCTTGGTATTACCGTAGTTATGGCCCGTTCTGGTATAGCTAACCCTAACGACCCTGTAAAAATCAACTCATACAGGGAAATTCCGGGTCGGGATGCATCAGAACCCTGGTCGGATTGGCCGGAAGTGATCAAGATCATTAAGAATTTTACTAATGAAACCATAGTAGGGTTCGATCGGTCCTTGCGAAGACGGTCTTTGAACCGGGACCGAAGCTTATTCGGTCCTTGGTCTTGACCCGGTCTGGACCGGTTCAGACCGCTAGTCAAAGTCATCCAATAATATAACCTGTTGTAATTATGATTTCATCTATAGGATATACCAAATTAGAAAACTATCATAATTGCGGTGATTTAAAGACTGTCTTAAGGACAGAAGGACCGGACAAGACCAGACCGATAACACTAATTGATCGGTCCTATTAGGACCGAGAACGGACTCGATCCAGCCCTAAACCATAGTCGTTCATTAAGTAAAAAATGCCGAGTTAATAATTTTAGTATAGCTTTTGCTAAGATAACCTAACCCCGATCCTAACCATGATGCATTTCAGCCATTTTGACCCGGAAATTTAGTGTAAAAAATATAAAAATCATAAATCATACTGATCATTTAACACGTGATCAATTTGGACTTATTTGTGTCGATAATATAAACTTCTATCGATGATTTCTCAATAACTAGATTAAATTCCATGACGACGATATTTTTATTTTTAATTCTACATTATTATAGAATCAAAATAAAATAAAAATCATTAAATTTGGTTTAGGTGTCAAGAAATCATCGCGAAATTTTTTTAAATATCTTTAGACAACCAATTACCCGAATTTGATGAATTTTTTTTATTTTAATTCTGAGTTATAGAATTAAATAAAAAAAATTGATTGAATTTGAATAGTTGGTTGTCGAGAAATACAGTCGGACTTCCCTAAATGCATAACCGTGAGGCGACCAAAAAAATCCTGCATTTAGAAAGGCATTGCATTTAGAGACAAAAATCTATAAATATCATGAGTTGGAGCCAAATAAAGCCATGCATTTAGAGAGGTCTTTCATAGGCTATGCATTTAGGGAGGTCTGATTGTATTCATTAAATATAAAGAAAAATTTGGCCGCAGCTTTTTTAAAACATCTAAACTCTGAGCAATTACTTGGCCAAATTTGATCAATTTTTTTTGGTTTATTATACAGTATATATAAGCTTGTAGAATTAAAATAAAATAAAAAAATTGATCGAATATGACCAGGAAAGTGCCGAGTAATCTTCGTTCAAGGTTTAGATGTCTGCGGCCAAATTTTTCTTAAATATTTTCCTACAACCAGCTATTCAAATTCGATCAATGTTTTTTATTTTAATTCTATGAACTCTTAGAAATAATAAAAAAAAATCCATCAAATTCAGGTAGTTGGTTGTTGAAAAATTGTCGGTTAAAGATCAAAAAAAAAAAAAGAAAATTTTACCCGATTTTGGTTTTTCCCAAGATATTTAGGTTTTAAGCTTTAAGCGATAATTTCTTGATAACTACTAAACCAAATTGATAAGCTTTTTTTTTATTCCTACGAAGCTATATAATTAAAATAAAAAAATTCTTTACCGAACTTGAAAGTAGTTATTGAGCTATAAGCAGGAACAGTAAAAAATATCGATTTATGTTGATTGTATGTAAATCGATATTTTTAGGTCAAATTGTGGTCAAATTGATGTTTTTACGACTTTATACGCAGCGTAATGGTACGTGGATATATTTGTACCTATCGCACATCTGAAAATCAAAATAGGCATAAGTAATGGAGTAATATGTATATGCGCAGAAGACAATGAACTATTTCCTCTTCGACAGTATCAATAACATTTTTTATCTCTCCTTCGAAGACGTTTGGTTCCATATTAAAGATTCCATAGACCTTTCATTTAATATCTGTCCATTCAAACTCTGAAGATAAATCGACGATTGATGAAAGCCCTAATCTGTATTTACTATGTTGGAATTTTCTTTTTATTAATAATCTATTTCAGAAAGTAAGAGAAAATACCGGATAACACTTTTCATAAATTGTGTTCGTTCTTTCTTCTCCTTCATCGCCAATTTTACTACCTCAGCAGTCTTAGTGTTAGCAATATCAATAATTAGACGGCCATCTCCTAATTTCCATTCGGATTTCGGTTTATTTTGGTTTAAATAATCACCGAATGAAACCGCTTTCGTATCAAAATTGAATGAACCATAATCCTCATCCGATTTATAGTCTTCATCAGAAAAGTGGTGGTGGAGTATTATATTTATCCTTAGGTTCATCCTTAATGCTTTCTTCGGAGTCAGCCTCAATAGGTAGATCTTGTGATTCGATTTTAGACCGTTTTGTGACTTCATCCTTGTTCTAAAATAATGTAGATCATTAATTATAGCTGAAAATACACATTTGTACCTTTTCACGATTCGAACCCCTTTTTGATGTAGCAACGAAAGTTCTGGCATTGATAGTGCCGTCTATATTCCCGATTACATTTCCTACATTCCCTTGGTGGATATGTATTTGCCTACGCGAACGTTTTTCTTCCCAATCTTTTGCTTTCTTATGATCGGGTTGGGGATCCTAGCAAGGAGGGTCTGGAAATTAGAATATTTTTCTGCTGACACTTATGCCAATTTGTCATTCAATTTTTCCCCACCAGAACTTCATCGCAACCGAGGAGGTCACCTGTGCCCCAGTGGGTCCGATGTTGGATCTGCAAGGAGCCTTTGACATCAGACAACCCAAGTGGGGTTACCGATGCGCCAACATCAGTTTCGTGGCTCGGCAAAGAGCCTTGAATGAGCGCCTACCAAGGAGGTCCACGTCATGCCACTTTCTCCAACAAAAATTCCCAATAAAAAAAGATTAGCACTCGCCTTTTGATATCTATAAAGTGTTTTCTTCTTGATATCTTTCTCACAGTCAACAATTTTTTTGAGCCATTTGATGTAAAAATCTATTTTCATTTCAAAGAAAACCGAGAATGCTCCAAACCGCAGGATCTTGGTTGAAATATTCATGTATTTTAGCTTTATCAAAATATATTTTGTAATACGTTTCGAAGTTGAATAAAAAGAAAATTATTGTGAACTGTTTTTCATTGCGTAAAAAAATCGTGGATACGCGACTTTACACCAATCACGACACAGGATTAAGTGTAACGTGAAAAAAAGGCTTTTTCAAATGACGATCTGCGGTTTAAATGTTTCACGTGTCAGAAAATTTTACGCGGAACTAATCTTCAATGGTGCACCAGGTGAAACTGGTGAAACTAGAGTTATAGATAAAACTATGCACCGATGGTGCACCAGTTTCCTGGTGAAATTAATTAGTTTCACCTGCAACTCCGGTATAATCTGATATTTTACAAACTTAAAAAGTCTATTTCTATAAGAGATAAGCTATATCATGATTAGCCAGATATAGGGCGTTCTCAAGTACCCACCTCAATGAATTCGATAAAAAATCTGATTGGCTAGTTTGATTAAACTGACCAAATAGATCCGTTATTGAGTCTATTGAGGTAGGTGCTTGAGAATACCCATAATGATTCCAATACTCTTTATAAAATTTGAGTTATATGGATATAACAACTATATAAGCAAAATCTTTATTAACTTTATATTCAAAAAATACTAGAAAGCAAATAAAATATGTGATACTATCAAAGAGGAAGAAAGTACATGGATTCTAGATTATTTAATATAAGTTTTAGTATTAAGTTATTTTTTTGCTTTTAGATTTCTTATAAATTTCTATATTTAACTTGTTTTTATCTATATATTTTTTATTTGCTAACTATAAGATTTTTATCTTCATACTACCGTAAATGGCCATATAGACGACCCGGGTATGTTACATTCCACCAATTAAAAAACTTGAATTATACCCGGGGG